GGCAGGGAGTTGCGAATGGCAAAGCGAGCGTGGGCGTCACAAGTCTGCCACTGTGAACGGGCAGTACTGTCAGCAGTAGTAGCAGGGGCAGCAGCATTGCCTAGTGCGTGATCGTACAGCGAGATATCCTCCTTGGCAGTGAGCTGGAGGAACAGGTGCAAGTCATCGAGCCAGGTCTCAAACTTCAGTGGGCGACCCTCAGCATCGAAAGCTAGAACAGCAGGGCTAGCCATAGTTGCAGTAAGAGCAGTAGTAACAGCAGAAACAATAGCAGCAGGTGAAACCCTAAAAACAGCAGGTAGGGCGGCTCGGTCCAGAAAGGGCTGCTCAGTACGGGGAGGGCGGCGCGGCTCGGTTCGGGCGGCGCGGCTCGGCTCGGTTCTGGGCGGCTCGGTTCGGGCGGCTCGGTTCGGGCGGCTCGGTTCGGGCGGCTCCGGTCGGGCGGCTCGGTTCTGGCGGGGCCGTGGCGGTCGCGCGTGGGTGGCGGGCCGTAAGGGGCCTCTAAGGGGCGAACGCGAGGCCGACGGGGCCGCTAAGGGGCGGCGCGCGAGGTCGAGGGGGGGGGGTCGTAAGGGGCCTCTAGGGGGCGGCGCTCAGGGTCGACGGGGCCGTAAGGGGTGGCGCGCGGGGTCGACGAGGCCTTGAGGGGCCGCTAAGGGGTCGACGGGGCCTCTAAGGGGCGAACGCGGGGCCGCGAAGGGGCGGCGCGCGAGGTCAACGGGGCCGTACGGGGCCGTGAAAAGGGCGGCGCGCGGGGTCGACGGGGCCTTGAGGGGCCGCTAAGGGGTCGACGGGGCCGTAAGGGGCCTCTAAGGAGGAGCGCACGAGGGCGCTTAGACAGTGGGGCGCACGAGGGCGCTCGGAGTCAGTCAGAGTGGTGGGCCCATAAAAAAATTTCGGTCCTAGCGGAGGACCAGCTCTGAAACCATGTCAAATGTACAAAACAGGAATGATTGAACTAGCAGGAAGTTGGGTACAAGTAGTGAAACCCTAAAGTGTTGTACCCCATATTGTCTAACCCACTACAGCCTAAACAAGCTATAGCATATAAGTTTGACATGCGCTGAGTTCAGGGTACAGTCACCCAGTTCCGGAAACCAACATCTACATTTCATAAACAACAAGTGTCAAACATTGTATATGTTTATATTCTGTAGGCTATAGTGGGTTTAGCCTTAGGGGGTACAACATTCTAGGGTTTCCTACTTGTACTCCCAATCCTGCTAGTTCAAACACACTTGTTCATTCTAACATGGTATCACGAGCCTAGGTTGCCACCTAGGACCGCTTTCTACTACGGGCCCACTATTCCGCTAGAAGCGCCCTCGTGCGCCCTACCTTACGTGCGCCCTCGTGCGCCTTTCTCTGCTCGTGTGCCCTCGTGCGCCCTGTTTTTTCTGCTAGTGCGCCCTCGCGCGCCCCGCCCTTCGGTCTGCCCGCGTGCCGTCCTGCAGCCCTCGCGCTGCCTCCTGCAAGCTAGTACGGCCCTCGAGCCGCCCCTGCAGGTCCGTCAGGCCCCCGAGCCGCCCCTGCAGGTCCGTCAGGCCCCCGAGCCGCCTCTGCAGACCCGTCAGGCCCCCGAGCCGCCTCTGCAGGCCCGTCAGGCCCGAGAGCCGCCCCTGCAGACCCGCGGCGTCGTCACCTGTCCGCGGCGTCGCCACCTGCCCGCCGCGTCACCCTGCCCGCGACGTCGCCTCTGCCCGCCGCGTCGCTCTGCCCGCCGCGTCGCCCCTGCCCGCGGCGTCGCCCCTGCTCGCCGCGTCGCCCTGCCCGCGACGTAGCCACCTGCCCGCCGCGTCGCCCTGCCCGCGGCGTCGTCACCTGTCCGCGGCGTCGCCACTTGCCCGCCGCGTAGCCCTGCCCGCGGCGTCGCCCCTGCCCGCCGCGTTGCTCTGCCCGCCGCGTCGCCCCTGCCCACGGCGTCGCCCCTGCTCGCCGCGTCGCCCTGCCCGCGGCGTCGCCACCTGCCCGCCGCGTCGCCCTGCCCACGGCGTCGCCCCTGCCCGCCGTGTCGCCCTGCCCGCCGCGTCGACCTGCCCGCCGCGTCGCCCCTGCCCGTGCGTCGCCCCTGCCCGCTGAGTCGCCCTGACCTAACCCGCGCCTCGCCTCTGCAGCAGCCGCCCCTGGCCCCTGGAGCAGTCGCCCCTACAGCAGCCGCCCCTGGCCACTGGAGCAGCTGCCCCTGGAGCAGCCGCCCCTGGCCACTAGAGCAGCCGCCACTGCAGGAGCCGCCCCTCGCCCCTGGAGCAGCCGCCCCTGCAGCAGCCGCCCCTGGCCCTTGGAGCAGCCGCCCCTGGCCACTGGAGCAGCCGCCCCTGGAGAAGCTGCCACTGCAGGAGCTGCCCCTGGCCCCTGGAGCAGCCGCCCCTGGAGCAGCCGCCCCTCGAGCGGCCGCTGTGGCGGCCCCGCAGTCGCCTCGCTCGTGCGCCTGCCCTTCCCACCACTGGTGAGCACTGCCCTGCCCGTGCTGCTATTGCTGTTACTGCTGCTGCTACTGCTTCTACTGCTGCTCCTTGCCTGGCCAGATGCAGCTCCAGGGCCGTCCACGTGTGTCCCTCACGCCCCAGCAGCTTCGTGAGTGGTACGCCAGTTGGGGTTGTCGGGGTGGCAGTAGTGGGAGTCGTCCTGGAGTGGGTCGTTCGGGAGTTTCTTCTAGTGGCCCGGTGCAGCAGCAGCGTCGTCTACGCGAGGCTCTTTCGCCCCAGCAGCTTCGTGAGTGGTACGCTCAGAGTAGAGGGTCACTGAGTACTGCTCGCTGCCCGTACGTCATTCGCACAGGTGTCCGAACTGGTCAGCCTTGCGGGACACGTGGTCACACAGAGTCCCACTGCTTCGCCCGTCTGGGCGACGCTTGGCGTACAGGGCTTCGCGACGACGCTGAGCTCCCCGACTGGGTGGAGCTGCTTAGGCAGAGGGTAGATATCTTTGCTCTTGACTATGATGCTATCCTCACTGCCATGTATGCATTGTCTACTAGTGCCGAGAGTGCCTGTCACCTGTGTGTGCCGCCTGACCCAGGTATAGAGTCTACTGCTCTAGGTACTGGTGAGGCTGCCGCACTAGGTGCTCGTGTGTCTGTTGCCTCAGGTGCTGGTGAGGCTGCCGCTCTAGGTGCTAGTGCGTCTGCTGCCCCAGGTGCTGGTGAGGCTGCTGCTCTAGGTGCTCGTGAGTCTGCGCCCCCTAGTACTGAGTCTACTGAGGCACTGCACACCTTCACACTGGACTCAGATGCTTCTCGCTGCTTCTTTCGTGACCGCACTGTCCTTGAGCAGCTTGCTCGGCCAGTTGCTGTCTCCCTTGCTGACCCCTCTGGGGGTCCGGTCATTGCGACCTCCTCCACTGTCCTTCCTTGTCCTGCGGTTCCGTCGGGCACACTGTCAGGTCTCCACCTCCCCTCGTTCTCTACGAACTTGGTGGCGGGTTGTGCGCTCCAGGACGGGGGTGTCCACCAGTTCACCCCTGCCTACGAGCGCGTGACACACTGCACGTGTGCTCGGACGGGCCGTCACCTGGCTACCTTCACTCGGCAGCCGGGGTCGGACCTGTACACACTGACCACTGAGTCCCCTCAGGTAGCTGCGTCTGCGTCTGCTTCAGGTCAGCTGTCTGCCCCCTACTCGTGTCGCTCTCTAGCACACGAGACCGTCCTCTGGCACCACCGCCTTGGTCACCCGTCAGTGCAGCGCCTTCGTGCCATGCACAAACGGTACCTTGTCTCTGGTCTTCCCCGGGTACTCCCTCCCCTCCCACCCTCGCCTGCTCCTCCCTGTCTTCCTTGTGTCGAGGGGCGGCAGCGCGCCGCTCCTCACTCCTCCTCGTTTCCCCCGACGACTGCTCCCTTGCAGACACTCCACATGGACGTGTGGGGCCCAGCCCGCGTCCGTGGACAGGGTCAGGAGAGGTACTTCCTGATCGTTGTTGACGACTACTCGCGCTACACCACGGTCTTCCCCTTGCGCACCAAGGGTGAGGTCCCTGATGTTTTGATCCCTTGGATCCGCGCTTCTCGTCTCCAGCTCAGCGAGCGGTTCCACTCGGACTTTCCTGTCCTGCGTCTGCACTCTGACAGAGGTGGTGAGTTCTCCTCCGACCTCTTGGCAGCCTACTGTGCGGAGCACGGCATCCGCCAGTCGTTCACGCTTCCGGCCTCTCCACAGCAGAATGGGGTTGCTGAGCGCCGCATTGGCTTGGTCATGGAGGTCGCTCGTACCTCCTTGATCCATGCAGCTGCCCCCCACTTTCTGTGGCCGTTTGCGGTCCGGTACGCTGCGCATCAGCTCAACCTCTGGCCCCGTGTCTCCTTGCCGGAGACCTCGCCCACACTGCTGTGGACGGGGGTGGTTGGCGATGCGTCGCGTTTCCGGGTCTGGGGATCTCGAGCTTTTGTCCGCGATACGTCCGCGGACAAGCTCTCCTCCCGCGCTGTTCCTTGTGTCTTCCTTGGCTTTGTCCCGGACGCGTCTGGTTGGCAGTTTTACCACGCCACCTCGCGCCGTCTCCTGCCCTCTCAGGACGTCACTTTTGACGAGTCGGTGCCCTACTACCGCCTCTTCCCCTACCGCACTGCCCCGCTCCCCCCCCCGCCTCTCTTCCTCGCGCCAGGTGCTGCTGTGGTAGACCCCCTCCCCCCTCAGGGTGTCGCTCCCTCAGGTGTGTCCCAGGTAGACCCGGTTGAGCCTGTCGAGGTAGCTGTCGACTCTCGTCCTGCTAGGGGTGCTGAGCCTGGGGGTGCGGAGCCTGGGGGTGCGGAGCCTGGGGTTGCGGAGTCTGGGGGTGCTGAGCCTGGGGGTGCGGAGCCTGCGGGTGCTGAGTCTGCAGGTGCTGAGTCTGGGGGTGCTGAGTCTGGGGGTGCTGAGCCTGGGAGTGCTACACCTGGAGGAGCTCTCTCCTCACAGCAGCTGCGTGAGTGGTACTTACAGTACTGCAGCCTCAGGAGAGGTGCTTCTGGAGCTAGGAGTGCTGCTGGAGCTGGTGCTAGTGCTTCCCCTCCTAGGCGGGAGATGCCCTCTCCCCAGCGGCTCCGAGAGTGGTACGCTCGGCGCTGCAGTCTCCGGAGTGGCGCTCCTAGTGTCGCGGACCCTGGTGCTGGAGCTGCTGGCGCTGCTGGAGGTGCTCCTGGTGCTGGTGCTGCTGGAGGTGCTGCTGGCGCTGCTGGAGGTGCTGCTGGTGCTGGAGCTGCTGGAGGTGCTGCTACTGCTGGCGGTGCTGCTGGCGCTGCTGGAGGTGCTGCTGGTGCTGGTGCTGCTGGTGCTGCTGGAGCTGCTGGAGGTGCTGCTGCTGCTGGCGGTGCTGCTGGCGCTGCTGGAGGTGCTGCTGGTGCTGGTGCTGCTGGAGCTGCTGGAGGTGCTGGTGCTGCTGGCGCTACTGGAGGTGCTGCTGGAGCTGCTGGAGGTGCTGCTGCTGCTGGTGGTGTTGCTGGCGCTGCTGGAGGTGCTGCTGGTGCTGGTGCTACTGGAGCTGCTGGAGCCGCTGGTCCTGGAGGTGCTCGTACTGGAGGTACTGGAGCTGCTGGGACTGGACCTGCTGAGGGGGTTGGAGCTGGAGGTGCTGAGCGGCCGCGGCCGTACTACGTTCCGCTCCTTCAGCAAGTTCTTGGTCTCCCGCCCTCTACTGGTCCTTCTCCTCCCCTACTGAGTCCACCGTCTGTCCAGTCGCAGTCACAGTTACAGTCTGCCTCTCCGCTGCCTGCTCCTTCTCCTTACACTGCGCCGACGGGTAGTCTTACGGAGCGTCGTGAGCCTGAGTCTCGTCCTCCGTCGCCTGAGTCTAGTCCTGCGTCTCCTGAGTCTCGTCCAGAGTCGCCTGTCCGCGCTGCCCGCACTGGTCGTCGTGTTCCGCGTGAGCGTCCTCCTCCTGTCCTTGGCACTCACTATATGACCCTGCGTCCTTCCACTGCTCCACAGCGTGTCCCTCTGCCGTCTCCTCCTGCGTCCTCTCTTCCTGACGTTGCTGACCCGCCGTCAGACCTTACTCGTGCTGCCAGTCCTACTGTCGCGCGTCTCCTTGCCACTGTTGTCACTGACCCTTCCTTTGAGTCCTCTGCTGCGTCTGCTCTAGTCGCTAAGCTTGTTGACTTTGCTGCCGCCTGTCGTCTAGACTACGCCGCTAGCCTTGTCGCTGAGTCTGAGTCTGTCTGTCCTCCGTCCGTCGGGGGTGAGTGTGCTCTTGGCACGGACGTCCTTGAGGACAGACAGGAGGAGTTTGAGTGCTTTGCCGCTGCTTTACCTCATCTCGTGTCCATGCTGATTGCCCCTGAGGGAGACCCGGATGCACCAGACATCCCGACCCCACGCTCTTACGCAGAGGCGATGGAGGGTCTCTACTCCTCTCAGTGGCAGACAGCCATGGACGCAGAGATGGCTTCCTGGAAGTCCACAGGCACCTACGTCGACGAGGTCCCCCCACCTGGGGCGAACATTGTCAGTGGCATGTGGATTTTCAGGGTGAAGCGGCCGCCGGGTTCTCCGCCTGTCTTCAAGGCGCGTTACGTTGCACGAGGCTTCAGTCAGCGAGAGGGAGTTGACTTCTTCTAGACCTTCTCCCCGACCCCGAAGATGACCACTCTTCGGGTTCTGCTGCACGTCGCTGCTCAGCGTGACTACGAGCTCCACTGCCTTGACTTCAGCACTGCGTTCCTACAAGTCACCCTGCACGAGGAGATCTGGCTGCGCCGCCCACCTAGCTTCACTGGGTCGTTCCCTCCTGGTACCCAGTGGAGCCTCCGGCGGCCAGTCTACGGTCTCCGCCAGGCACCCCGTGAGTGGCACGACACACTCAGGACGACTCTTGCTGCTCTTGGGTTTGCTCCTTCTACTGCTGACCCGTCGCTGTTTCTGCGCACCGACACTTCTTTGCCGCCGTTCTACGTTCTCGTGTACGTAGACGACTTGGTCTTTGCTACTGCTGACGCTGAGGCACTCGCCCACGTGAAGTCGGAGCTGCAGAAGAGACACACGTGCACAGACCTGGGTGAGCTGACAAGCTATCTTGGCTTGCGGATCACCCGGGACAGAGCACAGTGCACCATCACCTTGACTCAGTCACACATGGTGCAGCAGGTCCTTCAGCGCTTCCGCTTCACGTACTCCTCGCCTCAGCCCACTCCTCTGCCTACCGGTCACTCGCTCTCAGCTCTGCCTTCGGATGAGTCCGTAGAGCCGAGTGGCCCGTATCCAGAGCTTGTGGGCTGCCTCATGTACCTGATGACCTGCAGTCGACCTGACCTAGCCTACCCTCTTAGCATCCTAGCACGCTATGTCGCTCCTGGCCGTCACCGGAAGGAGCACATGGAAGCCGCTAAGAGGGTGTTGCGCTACTTGTGTAGTACGTCGGGCATGGGGCTTGTGCTTGGAGGACGGCGCGACGTTGTCCTCACTGGACACTCAGACGCTTCTTGGGCTGACGACCAGGCTACTCAGCGGTCGTCTCAGGGTTACACCTTCAGCCTTGGCTCTGGCTCTGTTTCCTGGCGTTCTACACGCTCTTCCTCTGTTCTCAGCTCCAGTTGTGAGGCTGAGATCTACGCCACAGCCATGGCTGCCCAGGAGCTACGCTGGCTCACCTACCTGCTGACCGACCTTGGAGAGCGGCCTCGTTCTCCTCCAGTGCTGTACGTCGACAACAAGGCAGCCATTGCCTTGTGTCAGGAGCACAGACTGGAGCACAGAACGAAGCACATCGCTCTGCGCTACTTCCTTGCTCGAGAGCTGCAGCAGCGTGGTTAGCTTCGTCTCTCTTACGTGGCCACTCGGGCCAACACTGCTGATGTGTTCACCAAGGCGCTTCAGCCTTGTGATCATCAGCGTTTCTGTACTGTTCTAGGCCTTGTGCCTACTGTCCCTCACTTGCTCACTTCTTGACTCTGCTTGTACTGTGATCTCTATATATATACCTGCATGCTTACACTTGCTAGGTTGTGATCACTGTACCTCTTGTTATATTATCAAACTGCATGTGAACTGGTCTTGTGACCATTTGCTTGTGCTCGGAATTTGTGTGGTATCCTTGAGATCCACCCTGAGCTTGTTTTGCTTTGCTTTGCTCTGACTGGTCTTGTGACCATCTGGTTGTCTCCCACTTAGCCTATGGGGGTGTGTCAAACATTGTATATGTTTATATTCTGTAGGCTATAGTGGGTTTAGCCTTAGGGGGTACAACATTCTAGGGTTTCCTACTTGTACTCCCAATCCTGCTAGTTCAAACACACTTGTTCATTCTAACAACAAGGGTTGCCCGTCGCATACGTCATCGCAAACGACATCAGAAATGCTGACTTGGTTACGAAAATTAAACACCCACATTCCACTTTCATTCCAATTAAGAATAAAATTGTAATGAAATGTGGAATGTGGGTGTTACATCAGTTCGTCCAAGCAAAAGCCAAATGACCCCCTCATGCTTGCACGAAATTGGCAAATGAGTACAAAGTATGAGCGAAGGCATGAGCGAATACTTATAAGCGAAACATGCATACGGTAACTCGGTGCGTGCAAGCTAGCTAGTGCGATGCTGGCAGCGAGGTTCGGGCCAGTCACGAAGTGTAGGCCGACTCGGGCCAGGCCAGCGATGCATGGTTTGGCAAATGCAGCGCGCGAAATCGGCGAAGGCTCCGTTAACTGTAACGGGCGAAGAATGGTCGGTCTTGTATGGGTGTTGAGCTGCGCAGTAAGGAATGCCGAAAAAATCCGAACACTACCCCCCTCCCCCTCAAGAAGCCCCTTCGCTACGCGAGTGAGTGTACGTCGCGGAATCCCCAGCTTCGCAGGTATACTTGCAGGGCAGGGTGACTTTTGATGTTGTCCAGGGGCACCCAACTGTCCTCTGTGGGGGTGTGGTCCTTCTAGCGAACGAGGAATTCAATCCTTCGAACTCCCGTGGAGTGGCGAATCCGATGGCTCATAATTTTCTCGGGCTCGACGATCGGCTCCAATGCAAGACGCGTCATCGATGGCGGGCAATGGCGTGGCATTTGGCTCGTGGTTGGGATGTATGGGCGAATGAGGCTGACGTGGAACGATGGGCTGATGTACCAGTCATCGGGTAGCAGGAGATGGGCGGTGACAGGTGTTATCATGTGGCTTATATGAAACGGGCCACAATAGCGCTGGCGAGGTTTTGGTACGACGGGCAGGCGTGAATTCTGCGTGTCGAGCATCAAGTAGTCTCCTGACTGGTACGTCACAGGGCGGCGGTGGCGGTCGGCGTTCTTTTAGCGATGATGCTTGCCTTTTTAATTGCGTCTGCTGCGCGCGTGGTCTTGGGTTGTCTGGATTCGGCGTCATGGGCACTGTGGGGTTCTGCCCATAGTTCAGGTAAAATGGTGACTGCTGCGTCGTCGCTAACGTGGCATTGTTGTAGGCGAAGTCTATCAGCGGCAACTACTGCTCCCAGGTTGTCGGGTCATCGCACGTGGCACGAATCAGCTGCTCCATAGTCTGGTTCGTCCGCTCCGTCTGACCGTCGGTCTCGGGGTGGTACGACAAGCTGAACTGTAGTCGGGTCCAGAACTGCTCCCACAAATTCTTCCAGAAGTTGCTGGTAAACTTCGTGTCGCGGTCGCTGATGATCGCGGCTGGTATCCCGTGCAGGCGAACGACGGTCGCGATGAACAGACGAGCGGTTTCTCCGGCTGAGATTGATTTCCTGCACGCAGCAAAGTGAGCCATTTTCGTCAGTCGGTCAATGACAACCATGACCAAGTCGTTAGCACCAGGGCTCGAAGGTAACCCCGTGACGAAATCTATTGTAACTTGCTGCAAGGCCCGCCCGGGCGGAGGAATCGGCTGCAGTTGACCCGCCTTTTTCATGCGCGAGCTCTTAATCACCTAACACGTGGGGCACGATCCCACGTGGTGCTGTACGTCGGTTAACAACTCTGGCCAGTAGTAATACCGCTTCAGTTGATGTCGCGTCTTTTCAAACCCGAAGTGACCCGAGGTAACCCCATCATGTGCCTCCTGTAGTCGCAGTTCCCTTAGCAGTGAATATGCCAGTACACAGATGCGGTTGGTTCCGGTTTTTACATAATATATTCCCTTAGTTTCTGTCAGCTGCTGCAAACTACCAGTGGTGAAAAACGGGTCGGTGTGATATCTGTGGGTGAATAGGCCAGTTAGCAGTAGGTTGGTTTGGGCGAGTAGGATGGCGTGAAGTTGGACATTGGGGCGGGTGAGAGCGTCGGCGATGTTTGATACTCCTTTTTTTGTACGTGACGGTGTAGTGGAAATTGGACTTCAGATAGTCCAACCACCGTATCTGTCGCGGATTGAGATTCGGCTGGGCGCGGAGGTACTGTAGTGATCTGTGGTCTATCCATACTATCACGTCGGCTCCTGTGAGGTAGCACCGCCACACTTTGAACGTGTGCACGATCGCCAGCATCTCTCGGTTGTGTATCGGGTAGTTGCGTTCGGGTAGGTGAAGTTTGCGGGACTCGTACGCGATTGGCTTGAGGCCATTTCCAAAATCGTGCAACAATACTGCTCCCACAGCAATGTTGCTTGCGTGAGTGATCAATTTGAATGGGCGGTGTGGATCGGCGATGTGAAGCACGGGTGGCGAGCACAAAAAAAAATTTAGGGTCGAGAAGGCACCTTGCTCTTTCTCCCTTCCTCAGCACATCAGTCAACGGGGCTGTCAGATTCGCCATGTCGGGGACAAACCGTAGCACGTACTTGACGAACCCCATAAAACTCTGCAACTCGGTCAGATTTGTCGGCGCGTGCCATGCCTGAATCGTCGCGATTTTCTTCGGGTCTATTTCCACGCCGTTGGCCGAAATAACGTGGCCCAAAACTCCAGTCTGTCCTGTAAAAACTCACACTTAGAGGCTTTGGTCAGTAGGCGGTTTTCACTCAGTATTAAAAAAACGGCTTCGACGTCCTGTAGGTGCTGTGCTCTGTCTAGGTTGTAGATCAGTACATCGTCTTAGTAGACGATAACGCACTTATCTAAAAGCGGGCGGAAGGCTTCGTTCATGGTCATTTGAAAAGTGGCGGGGGCATTGGTCAGTCCGAAAGGCATCACGGTGTATTTGAAAGAGCCGTAGCGGGTGCGGAAGGCGGTTTTTGGGCAGTCGGGTGGGTTGACGCGAATCTGATGGTAACCCTCTCGAAGGTCGAATTTTGAGAAAACGCGGGCTGTGCGAAGTTGGTCAATGAGAGTTCGTCGGCTCATGGGATGGGGTAACGGGACTTGATTGTAACCCGGTTCAGTGCGCGGTAGTCGATGCACATGCGAAATCCCCCGTGTTTTTTCCGGTGTGAACAGTATCGGTGCTGCGAAGGGTGACGAACTCGGGCGAATGAATTTCTTCTCAAGCATACAATCCAGTTGTTTCCGTAGTTCGTACAGTTTGGGTTGGTTCAGTCGGAACTCTTGCTGTACTGTCGGCTGTTCCCCGGCTCTAACTCTCTACTGTGGTCATGCGGTCGTTGAGGTGGCAGTCCCTCAGGTAGGTCGTCTGGAAAAATCCCGGTGTATAGCTTAAGTAGCGCTGCCAAATCATCGGGTACGTTGGCGAGCAGTTACTGCAAATCGCTAGGTTTCTCTGCTACCTCGGCTTCCCGGACGTCAACCGCATGCACGTCAGTTTCTGCCGCTACAGCGCGTTTCATCGTTGACTCAGGCGAGCTCCAGCGAGGTAAGGCGATGTTGTTACCATTGACTCGCACGGTGCAGTCGCCCGTCGTCCAGTATATTCACGGGTTATGTCGTCGCAGCCAATCACGGCCGAGTAAAATATCTGTCCCGTCGAGGATCGTCGCCAGCATTTCCTGAGTGATATTTAGTTACCCCCGCAGCGATTCCAAACTCGGTCCACGCGTTCCCGTATCGCCAGTGGCGTGTCGTCAACCAGTCTCGCATCGATCTCAGGTAAGCACCGGTCCTGTGTCAGTTTAAGTCTCCGTGTAGTGGCAGTATTTATTAAAGGACCCCGTTCTCGGTCGGTGGAGAAAATCGAGTTTCTCGGCCATGGCGAGAATTTCGTTGAATTCCGTGACGCCGCGAAGCAAGATTTCTTCCGTGACGCCGCGAAGCAAGTTTTACACCGTCGACATAGCGATCGATGCGCTCGGCTTCATGCTCGCATAACGACAGGAATCCGCTGGTGTAGTCTTGAACTGAACCGAGCTTGGTTCCTTCGAACGCGCGGAAATTGACGCCGCAATTGGCTCGAACCTCCAGCGTAGACCTGTGCACCACGCGTCCCACGTGCGATACTGGGCTACTTCCACAAAATACGACGGCGCCCAGGGTGCAGTTGGTCCTTCCCGTGGCGGGTAGAGCCTCGTAGTCGCTCGGCTTCGTGACGATGACACGCCACCATGTCAAACATATATGATATAGCCTGTTTAGGCTATAGTGGGTTAGACCTTAGGGGCTACAACTTTCTAGGTTTTCCTATTTGTACCCATCTCATTTCTAGTTCATTCATTTTTCCTCGTTCTTATTCTGACATGGTATTAGAGCAGAATCGTTCCTAGGGCCCACCGAACGTTCCGCCCTGCCCTAACTGATTTTTTTTTTAGCTGCCCCTGCGGCCGCGCTGCCCTTGCAGCCCGCGTGCTGCCCCTGCGACCGTGCTGCCACTGCAGCCGTGCCTGCCCCTGCAGCTGTGCCTGCCCCTGCAGCCGTGCCTGCCCCTGCAGCCCGTGGGCGCTGCCCCCTGCAGCCCGTGGGCACTGCCCCTGCAGCCGTGCCTGCCTCTGCAGCCCGTGGGAGC